TCACTGTTTACATGCAGTGTGTTATGGGTAGTTCTGCAGTACGACATAGACTAACTTAATCAATGGAGTGAACTTTTCATGCAGATGATCTTTGACTGTTGTTTCCTTGATGAATATTGATGGTTCCTCAACTAAAAGATAAATTACTTGGCTTGGCCATATCCATTTGGAACTACGAATTCAGCCATTCTCTAACCTACGCTGTACTGTGCCTTCCATTCTAGTTTTCTCATACCTGTCTGTGTTTCAGAGTACCAACAGAGATCCATTCCTTGTGATGGTACTTCCTGTGGCCCAGGTCCTCGTGACATGTTGAAGTGACTGCCTACTTGATCCCTTTAAAATTGTTCTCCAATGTTGCTTCCTCTCCATTGAATATATCGTGCAAGGTCTGGAACCTATTGCTGAGGGCTATCTTGAATTCGTTGAGCTTTCCAGTATTCCGAAGAATGGCCGTATTATCCTTTTGTGATATTGTCCGCCCCGTTTTCCGGTGCTTCTTGAGTTTCAGTTTTATCTTTGCTACCAGCAAGTTGTGGTATGAGGCTATATCATCTCCTCTCTTGTTTCTCATTTTCCTCCATCGTCCTTATGAATTTTTTTATGAATACATATATGATGAATTTGGTTCTATGCGTTGTGATCCGATGAAATCCATATGGCTTTGTGTATGCGTTTATATGGGAATATTGTTCCGCCATTGACCAGTTTGTTGAAGGCACATAGGTCTGCAAGTCACGCAGTTTCATCCATTTCTCCCAGTCCATGTCGTGCAATTTATAAGTGCAAAAAAATCTGTTATTTTAAAGTTGGATGAAAGGTGAATAAAAGGTATCATAAACTATTACAATACTGATACCGACAAAATAAATTAAATCGACCGATCAATATATTTCAAGGTATTTGAACATTTACGGTCTCATATTTTAATATGCGAAACATTTTGATATTCCAGTTGATCATAATGCTATATATATGTTATATTTAACGAGTAAATAATAACTACTTACATTTTGAGAAACAGAGTATCATTGTTACGCAAAGATCGCACGTATCGCATGTAATCGAAACGGCTTACATCAAACAGGACTGACCACTGAGAAATGCAGCTCCAATTAAAATCAAACTAAAAACCATCAATTGAGTGCTAGCAATCAACCAATTAACCACAGTTCATTCCACATTGGACTATTCACTCTGATATTGGAACTTGGAAATAGTAGTCTAGAATATCGTCACCACTGCCAAAACTAAAACCCATATAAACTCTGACCTATAGAAGTTAATTAGTCTTCTTAAATCGAACCACATAAGGCTCATATTTCATGAAGATTATAATTAAAATGAAAGAGTCTGTCGGTAACTTAAAGCCTATCTACGAAACTTTATCAATGATAGATAGATTAGTTTGAACAAATATTCAGCACATTCAAAAAAGGTCAATCAATAATAGAGAGTCGAACATGTCAATGGATTAAGAAAGTCAACTTGATTTCAAAAACAAATGAACACAGTGTAAGAACCCATGAAAATAATCATGTGAAGACAAGATCACAAGAATAAACTGATATATCGATTGTGTAATATATGCATGAGATAGATGCTAATAATGTGCAGAATGATAATAAAGTTTGAGTAACCAGATCGTCTAGCATAAAGAACTCAATCGACAACACTAAACGATACTCAAGTAAATGAATTTAAATAATTAAACAAACTTATCGTTCTGGTTAAAATAGATTTAAAGACAATTTAGCTATACAAATATATTCATCATTAATCTGTTACAAATAAGCGTTTTGAAAATAACCACAGTGTGAATTGAGACAATATATAATGAGCTAAAGTGATTCTTTTCAATTAGATCGTCATTAGGCTTTATTGTAATATACCATAACATGGAATTATTCAACCAACCAAGGCAGTTTATTTAATCAGTGATGACAGTAGACAGTGGTAAAATATTACTCATTGAAAGTTTGATACCAGATGTAATAATAATAAAAGTTTGGATCAATATTCGATGATAAGTTATATATATATACGGAACACCAATGATGAGCACCGTGTATCTGATGTAGATGTGAAGGTGTGGATCGGCAAAGCAATGACAGCATTTCTTCAACTCAATAACATCTGAGACTCAAACCATTTATCAAACAACACTAAAGTCAGAATTTTCAGTGCAAATGTCAACGTAATTCTACTATATGTGGCGGAATCTTTGAAAACTAACAAAGCCATCATACAGAAGATACAAGTATTTATTAACGGTTGTCTGCACAAACTTCTTCAGATCCTTTGGCCAGACACCATCAGCAACAATTTACTGTGGGAGAGAACAAACTAGATTCTATCGGAAGAAGAAACCAGGAAGAAGCTGTGGACATGGATCGGACACACATTGTGCAAAGCACTCAGCTGAGTCAATCATCGGCCTACGCTTCATTGGTGGTAACAGGTGTAAGTAAGTAAATCATAGCTTTCTTCATACGTCTTGCTGAATTGGTAGTTCCACATAGATATGGCCAAGTCAAGTAATTTATCTTTTAGTTGAGGAACCATCGATAATCATCTCGAAAACGACAGACAAAGATTATCTCCATTAAAAGCTCACTTCATCGTTTTAGCTAATCTCACTCATAGTACAGAACTAGCTTTAACACACTATATGTAAACAATTAATAGGAATGAAGAGGGTAAAAATCGGAACAAATTATTACCATTGATATATTTCATGAGTATATACTAATGACAATGTTCTAAACGATGTCTAAAATATATTCTTCTATGATCTATTTTTCATGATTTATGTACAGTTCAAGTGTATTACAATTACAGACATAGTTCAACAGGGCCATAAGGTCTAAAAGTCATAAGTTGATAACGAATATTCAATATTCAGTGATCACATATGATTGTGTTCATATAGCGTCTATTAGTAAAACTGCAAACAGAATACAGACATGAATTTTTCATGAAAGTCTTATGCTTTATTGTTCAGTATTAGAAATCTTTTAACTTGCAGTGTATATTGATTAGCCGATTCGATTACTGTTCAATAGAACAAAACCGTGAATTACATAACAGAAAAGCGGGCGATTCATTTATTTCATGATTTCTGTTGAACTGCCAACATGATAGAAACAATTGTATGAATAACCTGTCGTAGTAGTATTCATTTAACAGAATAATCTTATTTGTAGTTGCTGTACTCGTCACTAGGTATGCTTGAAAACTATTCACGAGTTCACCATAGTCGATAAACAAGAACGAGACAATGAACCAGCGTCCAGGTAGGCTACTCTGATCCGTTGACCGAAACGAACTAACGAAAAGTCTTGATGTAGTGTAGAAAGAATATTCTACAAACACCCAGCAAGCACAATGTAATCAAACACACAAATCGCCTTTATTTATACATCATAGAGACGTCCTTGTGCGAGTCATAAAAACAGGACACTAAAATAACACAATAACCAATCACAGCCAAGCCTTTTCTTGGCGGGAAATGTGATCTCAAGGTCACCTGATCAGCCCTTCAACAAAATCCAAAATAAAGACATTTGCAAGCGAGTAGTGGTTATCTAACACTCCTACAGTAGTATTTTTTAAAATCAGACATTGAAATATCATTCACTGAAATTAGAAAATTACCTAATACGAGGTGTTCACTTAATCAACCATTGATTAATAAAATTGTTTATCAAGGTGGGATCACAAAATGTTTTTAGTATTTCAGAGATCATCAACAAACAATCAGTAATTTGTCACACGATTTCCATTTACATCTTACACATTTATCTAGAAGATGGTTTGAATGGAGACTTTGGTCTATTTTCCATCATAGTTGAGTTATATTTCAGGTTGATAGGTTGCTGACACTAATTTTCCATCATCTGTAATGTCAGGCAGTCGACTCCTGACAGAATCATAATGTAACACATTTGAACTGATAATACTTCACACAATCGATTAGATTTTTCAGACTCGGTTAAAAACTATCACTAAATATTCATCGGAATCCAAAGCTAAATGTTGTCCACCACGTCATTAAGTGAAAAACCATGAAAATTCTTCTACAGAACTTTGATTGTCTTGTCAGTATAAGACTACTTGATTGAAAAATGTGTATATATAATCAGTTCATTTAAAGATTCACTCCCATCTAATAAGGATAATTTGTCAAAATTAATAGTCCTGTTGATATTGCTTTGTATCAATCTGTAATTCCTTACAGTATTAATAAATTACAACCTTGATACTGATTTTCACATCACAGAATACTTACAAATCAAAGTTTTACTAGCGAGAATAATCATATCGATTCAGTATTCAATTTGTTCTACTTCCGACGTTCAATCTAACATTGGTAGTCGGTCAACACCCTATTCTCATATTACACATGTTCACTGTATGACAAAATAAAATTACTTTCATTGATAATAATCAGATGAATGATTGATATTTACGTGCCGCACAAATACTACATGGGTGACCAAACTGCAGCAGATGGAACAAGAGGTCTAATCCATAAAGTGATTGAGCAACAATAGAAGATACACTGTACCATTGGTTTAGAATGACTATTTTTCCAACCTCCCTAGGTAGACTGTTCTGGATATGCACTTTTCGTCGTCTCAACAAAACCTTTACCATGAGGAAACAGTGAGTAACACGCACTGACAGTGTCTATACATGCATAGTTACATTTGAGCGTTTTGAAAGCAATAGAGGACTCTTACCACCCTCAGGTGTATCATGCATTTTGGGAGCAACTAGTCTATATTACCGTTAAACGAAATGATTACTTTTTAAGTGAACTAGTAATCAAACAGTTTTAGAATAATTCAGCGCAATTACGTGTTGAAAGATTTATTAATCACTTTCATTATATAATATTCTTAAGTATCACATGGTCACTTAGTTTAATTTGACCTTAATCATTACTTAGAAAGAGTATAAATAGTCCTATAAAAATTTATTTCAATAATTGACATAGAACAATGTCAACTGGTTTGATAACCCCAATTATTGTGCTCACTTGCATAACGTCATGGTCACTTGAAACTATAACAAACACAACTGAGTCTTATATCAATTCAACTGAATCAGATACAACATCAAGGCTCTTGTATGGAAGCATTAATTCATTCGAGTGTTTACGGTTGTATATGGTTTACCAAAGACGAGTTTACACAAGTGATATCTGTCAAAGTACTAGAATACTTTCAACATTTATTATGTGGTATACAAAAGCAATATGCGCACCTCGTATTTTTGGTTTAGTAACTAGGAGATACTGGGTTGTGTTTTCGTAAGTTTGCAATCATTATTTATTTACACATTCTACAGAAAATGTATGATATGCTTACTTACTTATTTACTTACTTACGTCTGTTACCCACAATGGAGCATAGGCCACTGACCAGAATTCTCCAGCCCACTCTGTTCTGGACTTCTTTTTTCCAGTTCTGTCTAATTCTTTATTTATTCTCCTCATGTCTGTCTTCATTTCTCGACCTTGGCCTTCTTCTTTTCCTTGAGGGTTCTAAGTGAGGGCTTGTCTTGTGACTCAGTTGAATGCTATCTACAATGTTTATCCGATCAATTTCCACCACTCCTTCCTGATTTCCTCCTTGGCTGGAATCTGGTTAGTTCTCTCCTACAGTAGGTTGTCGCTGATAGTGTCTGGTCTTATTCAAAATATCATCTACTGGTGGCCGTCAGAAGGAAACGAGCTTTTTTGATTATAAATTTAATAGTGAATTATATATATTATAGGGATGTTTTAATTAGTGTATATAATTGTTCATTGAAATAAACAATGGGATTATGAAATAAAACTATCGTTAACTTGTCTAAAAATATGGTTGACTATAAATATACTTTAGTCAGCGTAGTTCAAAAGAAAGGGAATGCTTCGATGTTTTATGCTTCCACTTAAGATAGACTGTTGTGAACTTAAGCACTGATTCTCCTGATCTGATAAACATCAGTAGGAAAACATTCTTCTTGAATTAATCTTGTGATCGGAATTCGGACTTTTTCTAGAAAGCTCAAATGTGTGATCTTTTCAAAGCAACCAACCTACATTAGATAATGTACATTCAAACAATCTATATGATGATAGTGAAATGCGATTGTAGGAAGTAGGTGAATGTACGTAGTACATTACATTCAATTTGATACTTTCAACTATAAACAATTATGAGTCAATCCAACTCGGACATATCCACATATTCCTATGAAATATCATCATCGTATTATTGCGAAATCGAAATTTGATCGAATTCACATTTTCACTAAATTTATGGTTACTTTAAAATAGACAACGAAATTTTTATGGTGCACGGCTTATCATTCGACAGGGTCAATGTGTTACCAATTTACACCAATATGGATTATGGACAGTTGGATCTATACTGAAATGTATACGACTAGATGATATGAACAGTCCTTTATATTGTTACATCCCAAGACAACCAACTTGGCCGTACGATCAATTTCCTTTACCAGGAACACCACAAAATCCAAATGATCCATTACAGCCAATAAATATACAAGATGGTAATGGTCCAGATTATCAGTTGATCAATTTCAATACAAATGTCAGTCAACCAGGAAATAATTATATGAATATGATTGTGTGAACTAGTTAATTACAGTTTTCACAAAATATCTTTTATATTGTCGTCTAATTGTAAATAAACAATAAAAAATTGTTTGTTTGTTTGTTTTTCTTCATAAATTATCTTAAAATTGTCTCTTTTTGACAAGTGTGTATTGTGAAATATGTAAAAACATATACATGTATGTTTTTATGTAATGTAATTTTATCAAGATATATTTTATGTAACATGTTTATTTTTATGTTTGACTGTTTACATTGGGGCTACATTGGGATCAACTCAAGAATATGTGTTTTTGTTTCTTCTTCTAACATTAGAGTTTGTTCAATTGCCTAGTTCAGATTAAGGAGTGAGTTTATTAAAACAACTATTGGAAACTAAGAAGTATTGAAAAGTTGTTTCGTTATAGTGCTGGACTATACTCAACAGGTAGGATGTAGATCAGAGAACAAACACATAAAACTTTCGGTCTAGATCACCTGGTGACACCGTTGATCCTAGATTCAAATGTTGGTGATCGAATTGTGGATGTTGAGTGGCGTCTTACTAAGAGTAAACAAATGTTTAATGTTTCATGGTTTATAGTTGATTTTTTTTAATTAAGATCACATACCCTGATGTCAATTATCAAATCTCTGTCAATCAGGTTTAATTACAGTGTACACCATTCAGTATAGAGGATGAAAGTTATAAACCTAAGTTCATGTATTATCAGGTCGTTTTTCCTAAATGATGCTTGACAGCAAATAATACGATTGTGATTGAATAAAAAAAATTTTTACAATATTGCTAAAATCTATTCTTCCAAACTATAGGAACAAATCTTCTCCTTCTAGCTAGCTTCTTATTCACCACTGTTATGCTAGTAAACTATATCGACGTTTCAAATCCGCATACAGAATGATAGTTGTTCACAATTATTTATTTCGAAAGGTTTGCGAATTTAGCAAAAGTGATCAATGAATTGATAGGTGACAATGTGAACACGTTGACAATCTATTGATTTCTGCTATACACAACAGCCAATCATCTTTGTTTGTTTTGATTTGTGGTGCCTACACGTATATTCGAGTTCGCTTACATTTAATTTGGTTAAGCCCTTTCGATTAATTTGTTTAACCAAGCCATTTTTATAACAATAACTTATATGTACCATTGGCTTTCATTATTATGAGGTTTGTATGATCTGGTATGAGTGAGCATTGCTTAACGCCTACGCGCATACGCATCCTATTCGCTTTAATATTGATCTCTTAAATATTACGACGACTCAGACATTTTCCTATGTATATATACGAACATTTTAATGTTATTAATTCGCTCGCACATTCGCTCGCTAGTGTGCCTGCCCGGTTTGCTTGTGGTCTGCTATTCCTATTTGTGGTGTGCCAAAATAAACGTATTCAACACATCGAATTCGCCTTCCGATTTATAAACCGTCAGACGTTATTTAATAACGATTGTCTGAACGAGCTAATTGTAAAGATTAAGAGCACGTAGAAATTGGCCACCACATATTTAAATGTATGTGGATAATGGAGTAGGAACTGAAGTTTGAAGACACTAATCGGCATCTTACAACCAGTGAGTTATTGATGAATTTCGTTTGTCTGCCTATTAAGTACAGTTGGTGAATATATTCGACTTTATTTCAAAAACCAGACCTATAATTCAAGACTTATAATTCATTGTGAATTCTTTTGGAGTTATTTCATTTTTAATGAAATTATGAGCAGACCAATGTTAGACCAGCATTAGACACCTCGAAGCACTAGAAGACCATTTCATTCTAGTATGGAACTCATCACCAGTGCGCATCCACGATCCCCACGTGCAGGGGTCGGATTCAGGACCGTTGATCTTTCACTCGGAAGTTTGACTTCTAAATCACTAAACCGGTATCGAATGATGCTAATGTCTAATCCCCCTTTAGATCTACAAAGTTGTATAGTGCATTTTTCTATGCAGCTTAAGTGAACAAATATTCCAGTACACAGAGTTAGCTTCTCGTGTGAAGTTTTCTACTTTTATTAAAAACCAATTAAAAAGTTACTTAGACTAATGTCAGAAAATTATGCTCGTCATGTCTCGATGAACAATGATTCAATCAAACCATACTGTTTTGTTCTTTTATCCATTTGAAGTTTTACAACTATTTCACTATTGTTTTTGAATAAAAATAACTCACAAATCACCAAAATTTGACCATACCAATATTTCTACTTGGTTTATTTAAAAGAAAACACTAATAAATAGGACCAAATTATTATTAAAAACTGTTTCATTATAAATCCAACTAAACTGGCAGTTTCTGACAGTGAAACTGTTGTCGAACGTCTGATAATTTGCTTGCAACTATTTCGTGCAGCGTATATTCATTGTTACAATAATGCAGAGAAAAGAAGAAGTTATGTATATGATCGTCATGTACATATCAAAAATCGATATATTTCTAAGCAAATTAATACAGACCGCATTGTTATTCAGATGCACTGATTGAAGAGTTTTGTGCTTTGACACTAAGACTAAATATCATATCTTAATTGATGGGAATGAGATTTCCTATAAAAAAAATATAGAATGACATCAACTTTCAACTATTCACGAGGGATAAGAAATTTATAACAATGAAAAATAATCGAAATGGTAACAATAATTCACCATTATTACATTTAAAATTATTAACTAACTAGTATGAATAATAAACAGCAGGTACCAACAGACTGGAAGAAAGAGAATAACTCATCAAAATACCAAAGAAATGCGATCTCAGCGAGTGTGTGAACTAAAGAGACATTACTCTTTGCTCAATACCAGGCAAAATCTTCAACAGGGTGTTGTTAAACAGAATTAAGGACTTCGTAGACGTTCAACTTCATGATCAGCAGGCTGGATTTCGTAAGGATCGACCCTGTACTGACAGTGTGAAACAATCACTCAAACTTAATTCATCACTCTACATCAACTTCATTGACTAAGAGAAAGCATTTAAAAGCGTAGAAAGGATGACATTATGGAGGCTTCTTCGACACCACGATGTGCCTGAGAAATAGTCAACATTATGCAGAATTCTTATGATGGACTTCACTGTAAAATCGTGCACATAGGACAGCTGACAGACTCGTTCCAAGGGAAGACTGGTGTCAGGCAAGGTTGTTAACTCTCACCCTTTCTCCTTTTTCTGGTGGCCGACTGAACTGTGATGATCTAGATCTGCTTTCTCGCTCGCAACAATAAATGCAAGAGAAGACGACTAGTGTAGCAGCAGCCTCAGCAGCAGTAGGTCTCCACATACACAAAGGAAAATGCAAGATTCTCTGATACGATAATACATGTACCAACCAAATAACACTGGATTGAAAAGCTTTGGAAGATGTACAAACCTATATATATCTGGGAAGCACCATTCATGAGCACGGTGAATATGATGCAGATATGAAGGTACGGACTGGAAAAGCAAGCGTAGCATTTCTATAATTAAACATCATCTGGAACTCTACACAACTGTCACCGAACACCCAAGTCAGAATTCTCATTACCAATGTCAAGACATTTCTACTGTATGGGGTGGAAACTTGGAGAACTACCGAAGCCATCATCCAGAATATATAAGTGTTCATTAACAGTTGTCTACACAAAATACTTCCCATCCGTTGTCCAGACACAATCAGTAGCAACCTACTGTGAGAGATAACAAACCAGATTCCAACGGAAAAAGTCAGGAAGAAGTGATGGAAGTTATTGGGACACACATTAGATAAAGCACACAACAGTATCACAAGACAACCCCCCGCTGGGAATCTTCAAGGCTAAAGAAAAAGAGGATGACCAAGAAACACATTACGCCGAGAAATAGAGGCATACCTGAAAAGAATGAAATACAATTGGATAGAACTAGGAAGGAAGTCCCGTAACAGAGTAGGTAGGAGTATGTTGGTCGGCAGCCTATGCTCCTTTGGAGGTAACAGGAGTTAGTAAGTAATTCAGTAAGTATAAATAATATTCTTCTATACATAAGAAAATATACTGTTCCACACCTGACCTCTATTTATCATGATCACTGACAAAATTCACGAATGATAAATGGTAAAATCTTGCTAATTCGAAGACAATGATGTTTCAGAATTTAATAAAGCTTATTCTAATGTCGCATCCACACACTAAACATACCATATAAATTTCACAACCCTCTTATATTTTCATATATTTTACAAAAAGATTTGATAAGGTTGCTTATCTGTACATCATCAATCTACAAAGTCTTATTATTAACTTAAAAAATACAAATGTATCAATACAAATCCAGTGTTTTCTCATGTTAGTATAAGAGTTGAATATTTCGAACAATCAAATCATTTTAACAAACTGTCTATTAGATTCTAGCGGCTCAAATTATCGATGTAAATAAATGAAATAGTTCTATGGATTTGTACATAAAACAAATTTTAGGAAATAAGAGAATTCTTACTGATTTTCTAATATCCCAAGTTTACGTATTAGATGTAACTCTTCATGGAGCATTAGCCGCCCATCAATATTCTCCAGGCTACTCTCTCCTTAGTCTTCTTTTCCAGTTCTACCCAATTGGCGTTCATTCTTTCCGTGTTTGCTTCCGATTCTCGACGTCATGTATTCTTTGGTTTTCCCTGTTTTTTTTTCCTTTGACCTTGATAATTCCAAGTAAGGACGTACGTTGTGACGCAATTTGCTTGTTTTCTTCAATTTGTGCACAATCCACCTCCAGCACTTGTTTTTCCCCCCAATTTCTTCTTCAAATAGAATCTAATTTGTTGTTCTCTTCCAAACATTAGGTTATTGTTGATAATGTGTCTGACCAATAAAGCTTAATACATGTAACTTGATACTATCCAGCGAATCGCCAGATTGATCTAGTTCAATGTATTGCAATCCTGTATTTGTTTAACTTTGTTGTTAGCTTTAATGATAATCTTGATGAATTCAAATATTCATATAAAATGAAAAACAGACTATTGCATTGAATCAAATACAAACCAGATCATTAATGATTATCTTGACTTTTTTGAAAATAAATAGATCAGGTCATGATATGATATGATAATATAATCTAATCAATTAAGCAAATGATCAAATTAAATCATTTTAACTACTAGAATATGATGAAGAGTTTTATAATTGACAACAAAACAGTCAATTTATCATGCGTCTTCAGTAAATAAAAAAAATTGATTAATACGTGATTATTAGTAGTTTGTACGGTGAAATTTCAATGTGAAATTTGTTTAATATTCAACTTTGTATTATGTTTACTTTTTTAATTGTGAAATTATTATTTTTTTAAATGATATATTCATTTATTTGTAATTAGTGTATGTTATGCTCGTCAATCGATATGCTTGAATGCTATGACGAGTTCACCTTAGTCAGTAAACGAGAGCGAAGACAAAACGATCCAGTGACACGATAGGCTACTCTAATCCGAGCGACCACCTAAGGTTCCATTAATTAGAGGAAGAAGTCTTGACAAGACATAGAAAGTGTATTCTACAGGAACCCAGAAGATATGAGTTTGACAAGCACAAAAATCGGGTTTATTTATGCATGATAGAAATTTCTTTCGGAGAGCTACAAAATAGCGTACTAAAATAATACATCAACCAATAAAAGTCAAGGATTTTCTGCGTGAGAAATTTAAGCTCAAGGTCAACTGATCAGCCTTTGCACGAAAACATAAAATCCAAAATTACGGCCTTAATCAAGTGAATTCTGGGGACCTAACGTCCCCAGCAGTGTATAGTAATTCATTTAGTTGGATAGTGAAAATGATTTCATTACATGAATAAATGATATGATCAACCTTAGTTAGAAATTCAATTCAATTTATCGTATCAATTTGTGTTTCTACGAAATGTATATATGATAAAGTATATTTCACCTTAAAAAAAATTTAGATATTCTACGTGTCAGCCATACAAGGTATTTGGTGCACACTACTTCTGCTGATCTAGTTTCAACATAACAATACTATCAGAATTATGGTTACCTATCAATCGTTTTCATAATTGTCTGCATATATCTCACAACCCCGCCCGTAGATCCTTCGGGACTTCTGCCGGTCCCAAGCCCGGAAAAGAGGAGGATTGAGATTGGGGTTGGCGACCCAATACTGCAAAAAACTAACTTCCCTAAAAAACGCAAACAAGAGAAAATAATTCACAGCTAGTAAACTCTGCTCTGGGAGTTAGAAAGTCTTCATTCAGAAGAATTATGAAGTCTCATGGTGAAAGCCGAGTTCCTTCGAATGTCATGAGGCTGACGCTCCTTCTGACAACCAGAACCCATCCACGCTGTTGACAGCCGGGAAGTAATTTCGGCCCTCATACCCATAAAAGCATGCATAAAAGCATATATCTTACGTATATGCCACTTTATCATAGGCTCTCCCATTCTTCATATAAATGAGTCAGTTTGATAGTAGAATTCATCTCTATTGAATTGGATTGAATGAAAAATAAATCCAATAATCTCATGTTTCTATTAGTGTTTAAAATTAAGTTATTCTTCGCCGGGCATTGAAATAGAATGAAATTTGAAAATCGTCAGGTAAAGTTAACACGTATCATAGTAAAATCACTGACTGAAATCAGTTATGACTTTTCTCTTTGTCCTCAAAGATCTTTGTGAAATACTCTTCGAGTTTTAACAGCAAGGTGTTTTGTTTGTTCTCTCCATTGATGCCCTTCTATGATGAATGTTTCATTAATACTATGATCATCTGCGTCGAGGTGCAGCACATATGAATCTTTCTCTCCATGCACTATAGTTTTAAAACTGATTGTTTAGTAACAAACAGTACAAACATCCAGCATCTAAAGTGCGAAACCAAAGTCAAACATGAAACAACCAGCACAAATGTATTGTAAGTAATCTGTTAAATCGGATTTTGCACTCAGTAACTCCTGTTCTTCATTGATTACTTTTTCTGCGCACCACACAATGCTACTTATAATTATTCAGTAGTTCGTGCTATTACCAATTATTTTAGAGCTTAGTTTTTAAAATTTTTGTTTTAAATAACCACTAATTCAGAGCATTTGTATCCCAAGTTTTCATTCATTCCCTTACTTATTACTGTAGTAATTCGGTCCTGTTACTATTTATGCTTCTCTATGTCCTATATGTTACAGCCAACTGACTTCTACAGTATCCATGATCAATATTTTTTATTCCAGTACGTGTTTCACAGTCATTTGTTTACTTCTATCATTTAGTACATGTAATTTCATTGTTTGCCAGTTATCTGAAGGACACACTACTACTTACTACCCTGTCTTTAATGGCGTTATCATTTTCTGAAAACCTCACATACTTTACGTTGTTTTCTTAAATAATACTGTACTCAAGACTAATTCCTCATTTGATTTCCAGATTTCCTATGTAAATCTTTCGTTAAATTCTACTGATTGAAAGGATTCTAGTAAGATGCGTGGAATTTTCAATATACGTTTTGTTTCGACATGCATGTCATTAGATCGAACATATAAATTTATTAGATTAACTTGGAGTAATGCCAAATGGTTTTATTGCGTTACATAACAGCAGTGTTTTTCTAACGTATACACTCTAAAATATTTTACTTAGTCGATAATATACTATGTATTACTAATTATATATCCTCTGTAATACTATACGAACTCTTCGCCACAATCCCAGTGAAAGCATAAATTTTATAATGTTCAGGGTCGATCTCACGCCGTAACCTTTGAAGTCCAATCTATATCGGGTGTGAGACAGTTATTCACCCCAGACAATAGATTAGGGGTTATACGGGATTATAGACTAATTGAAGTTAGACAGTAACACTACTGGATGCCAGCTCTGTGGTCTACCAAATAGGCTTTTGCATACGAGATCGAAGGTCCTAGTTTTTATCCTTGCATGTGGATATAGTGAAGTTTAATTTATGATAAATTGCACATTATTTCTAACTTTTTGTGCAACAAGAAGGTACTGAACGTTACCTGGAGTCGCTGAAATTCAATCTTGACTTTGGATCGTTGATCCTGATTAGTTCAATATCACAACTGAACGCATGAATTAAAGCGAGAACGAAGTATGGAGACGGATCTATTTGGTTTACAGCGTCGTTGCAAAGTCACAGTTTGTAGTTCAAATCAACATGTTGACTAAAGTCTTTAGTCTATCATTTTTTCAAAATAAGTATTCAGAACTTACGTACCAAATAAAGAGTTGAAGCTATTGGTTGGATGTAAAGTAACGTCTTGTATAATCAAACTTAAAAATGTTTTATTCCTCTGGTAATCATGTAAACATGAGAAACCTGTTGAAGCCAACTCCTTCTTACTTTATTGAAACTCATACTTGTTTAACTGAAGCTTTAAAGAATGAACTGGACACACAAACAGGTCCAACAAGTCTTACTATTTTAACCAGTCAAAACTATTCGAAGGTCTCAGTATTGTAGAAATGTGCTCAAAAGTCGTACACTAGGACACTAGAACGAGAAACTTTTATCATTGGAGAAACTTTTAAACATAGGATGAACAAGAGATCCGCTATTTAGCTACATAGATGGTTCCCCTCACCACGATTTCGTACATATTGAATCCTAATTACGTTTGACTATCCTCTCAAAGATTCATACATCATCTTAAAAACATTATGTTAATTTCAAAATTATTTGTTTGCCATCTTAGTGTCCAACAAAAATTAATTCTTTATCATTAGTTTTCCAACTTGCTAAAAAAGTGACAAAGTTCCCCTGAGGAAATTTTGTTTATTCCTTAAGTTTCTTTACTTAACTGTTTTGTGAATGACTAGAAGAACTAGTAAATATATTTTTTTTTAAGATTCAAGCAGTTATGAATAATGGCAATTTTGTCGATTCCTTGACTGCTATTCATAACTATCTGCATTTTGGTGTGAGTTACATAAAATTAAATGTACATTTTATACGTTTTAATTGAAAGACTAAAAATTATTTTGAAAAAATTTCATCAAATTTATTAATCATATACAAACTGTACGTTCTTTTTAATAAAATTTATTTAATCGAAATTCAACAAAAACACTTCTAGAAAATAGATTAACGAATAAATTATTTGTTATGAATTGAAACTCAGTTTTTTCAACATTCTCTATTTTAAAAGTACATTATAGGCCAGTAAAAAAATGAACATTGAATTGTTATCTGTTATAAACATTATGATGTGAAAGATTGAAATCAAAAAAAAAATTATCAACTTCTCATAATGTATATAAAACAATTTCAAATATCGTTAATTAATTAAAAGAAAGCAAAACTTGTAAACTTGGGATTATTTATTATTCATACTGTTTTTCATCAACTCATCTAAACTATCCAATAAACTCGAAATAGCTGCTTCCTCGTCATCAGCTGATTTATGTTGTATCTCATCGATATCTTTAGAATTTGTTTTGTCGTCAGGATATCCACTTATCTGAAAGAATTCTCTCCATGGTCTTCTAGGATATTGACACGAGACATAGACTTCCACTTCGTTTTGTATACTTTCTACACAGGTAAGTATTGATGTGATCGCTTTTAATTTATACTGATTTATATTGTTAATACATTGACCAGGACCGATTAGTATGTACGAACCTAAGAAATGTTGTTTTCTAAATAAATGAAACATTTTTTAGGAAAAAAAGTACATAAAGTCGTGAATAATGTTAAAATTGAGGAGGAAAAAATCTATTACTGTATGTAACCTATCGACTTAAGTAAAAAACAAAATCCTACGGGGTATAGGAGTCGTGAATGCGCACTGCCACCGATAAGTCCGATACCAGGACGAAACGGCCGTCTTTCAGTGCTTCCAGGTTTCTAATGGTGGTCTAACATTGATCGATTCATGGTTTCAAAAATGTATAACTTAACAATCTTCACAACACCGTAATGCAAATTACCTGTGCTCACTAGTGACTAGCTTCGTGAGGAATCTTCTCTGAGTTTTAGTGGGAAGACGTGACCAGTGAAGTTCAACCTGTTCGGGTGTAAACAGTAGTAACTACCGAAGACTGTGAATGAGGTTGCGAAACTCCATGAATTGATCAAGTTAGACATTAACACCGTTAGATAACGGCTCAGTGGTCCGGTGGTAAGGCGTTCGCCTACAGTACCGAAGGTCCTGGGTCCGAATCCTGCGGGGTGCAGGGGTCGTGGATGCGCACTGCTGAGGAGTCCCATAGAAGGACGAAACGGCCGTCTTTCAGTGCTTCCACGCTTCTAATGGTGGTCTAACATTGATCGATTCATGGTTTCGAAAAACAAACAGTTAGACAATTCACTCGTCAGTTTATTGGCATATTTAAAAGCTTATTTTCTTTAGGTTACATTTTGGGAAATCAATTAGTATGATATAAATAATCTACATTGTATTGCTAGAGAATTCATTTCTGTTGATTCTATATTCTATAACAAAGTGAACAATAGTAAGTTTTCACTCATTTAAACCAATTCATCTATCTTCTACATTAGAAAAACAAATGATTAGTGTACCGATGAATTAAGATGATGCAAGGATGTTTAATTAAACTGTAGACAAGACCATGCCAACTTCATAATTCATAGAAAAGGCATAACCCTTCTCAAAGATACTTTCACTGCAAAGATCATACCATGAATGATATTGAAATTAAAGTCTTAAGAAAAAAAAAATTCAATCTTACTCATATAATAACCAATATCTTTTCCTGTTAAAAGAATATCTATTCCCAGATGTACACATTGATAATGGTCGCCAAACATACACTGATGACAATAGTTCATTACTACTACATATATCAAACCAATCACCAAGTTGATTTGGTCCACTGTACAATCGAAGACATGGTAAATTTTTACCGCCACCCAAACTTAATGGTTTGGATTTCAGTGATGGTGTGATTGTTTCAGTGGCATTGTGATTTTCCGCTGTTGTTATTGTTTCATCGGTACTTTCAGTTGCATGGACAGTGAAATAAGATAGGAATTGAATCAGTAACAGTAAATTCATCAACATGATTTGATCTTTTGTTTTTTTTTTTAGTTATGAAAAAAAAACAACAATTGAGTTTATTTATATAGATTTAGTAGTAGTAGGTCAAGCAATGATGATATTGGATGAATGTATTGTTCTCTTAAAAATCAATCATGATCAAGAAAGACATATATGATGACATGAAGAAAAATAACAGGTCAAGCCTGTCATATGATGATGATGATTGCGTAATGGTTCAGAATGTTACTGTGATCAGTCAACTGATCATTAACAATTTAACACTAGTGTCTGTTTACAATAAATAAATAACAGTTTAATTATAAAAATGATCATGATTTAATGATATGCGACATTGACAATGAACTAATTTGACCTATTGTGTTAAATGAATATTTTTAAAAATTAAACATCATAATTCTAGTCAGTTTGTATTTATCAAGTAATTTTTCATTATACAGTTATAGAAACTGTTACGTTTCATTGAAATACTGAATCAATCATTCGTAGAAGACCATCATTAGAAAGCTAGAAGCACTGGATGGATGTTTCGTCCCGCTATGCGAACTCATCAGCAGTGAGCACGCACAATTCCTACTCGTAAGAGTCGAACCCAGGAACTTTGGTTCAACGCACCGACGCCTAAATTCTAGACCGTTGAGCCAGCATCCACTGGTGTTTTATGTTTAAATTCAGTCAATCCGAGTTAATGCACAACTTCACTCATTGTCTTCGGTGAGTAACAGCCTACATAAAATAGGGTTGAACTCCATTGGTCAAGGCTTCGATTAATATTCTTCAACAATGATAATAAATATTATGTCTTCCAGTCATCTAAGCTTTCATGAAATAGTAAGAAGATATTCGATCAATAATGGGACAAAATTAAACTCTTGATTGATTTAACTAATGCAAAATTAACGAATACATATTTAGCTGATACTAACATTGGTAAACAGAATCAGAGTCAATTGTTGATGATTACTTTTGTTATTATTATTATTATTATTACTATTATTATTATTAGTAGTAGTAGTAGGGTGCAAGTTTACAAGTAGTATATGACGTGAGTGTCAACCTAATGTCTGGCAGCAGAAGATGGGGGAAGATCAAGAAAGGAAGAGTTAGAAAACAATGGAATTTGTATGAAACGCATGAATAGTGACGATGGATTGGTGTTTTGCAACAGGAACAGTCCAGTTCGATAGGATGGACTGATATTTTGCAAATTAACGATTTACGATGTGGTTTTCCTATTTTACTGAGTAACTCTGTAATTTCGTTAAATACAATCCGGTCGCCCCACCTGTGTTCTCGTTCACTACAGTAGTAGTAGTAGTAGTAGTAGTAGTAGTAGTAGTAGTAGTAGTAGTAGTAGTAGTAGTATCACTTCTCTGTATGTTTCTGTTCCATATGACCTTAACACATATGGGATTGTTTATCTTCTCAATGGTTTGATTCTATACAGAATATACAAAAATGATATTTCCGCGTGTAAGTCGCGACTGTAGCTGTATTACTTGCTACATGATGAGGAAGATTCGATCAACATTCTAACGTTTGTTTTATTTTAAAATTTATGATCACACATTTCAACTTTAAGTGGACATGTGACAAACACACATGCAAAACTTGTATATTCAGTTATAGAACTTAGAAATACTTTCATCAAAAGAAATCAAACCACTGAAATCGAATGATTCTTAATGGTAAAAACTGAACGCATTAGTAGTCTATGCAATGATTAAAAATTGTGTGCTGCGTTAGATTCACTCACTGTTTATGAGCAATCAAATATGCTCTCAAATAAATCCCTTTTTCAGTTTCCATGGTTTGAATTATTTTTTCTGGTTAGCGTTGACGAGCAAGGTGGATCAGATGCAGATGTGTGGGCGTGGATCAGGAAAGCAAAGGTTGCATTTCTACAAATGAACTAGATCTGGAACTCGAAACAACTATCACAATTTTCAATACAAACAAAAGTCAAGACCGTTCTACTATATGAGGCTGAAACTTGGACAACTACCAAAGCCATCATCCAGAAGATACAAGTATTTATTAATAGTTATCTAGGCAAAATACTTCGGATCCATTGGCCAAACACAATCAGCAGCAACCTACTGTGAGAGAGAACTAACGCGATTCCAAGAAAAAGCGGTGGAGTTGGATAGAACACATACATTGAGGAAAGCACACGACTGTGTCACATGAAAAACCCTAACTTGGAATCTTCAAAGACAAAGGAAGAGAGGAACAGCGATGAACACATTACACCGAGAAATTGAGACAGACATGAGAAGAATGGGCAACAGTTGGATAGAACTGGAAAAGGGAGGCTCAGGACAGAGTAGACTGGAGTATGCTGATCGGCAGCCCATGCTCCATTGGGCGTAACAGGCGTAATTAAGTAAGTTCAGTTTCCGTATCTCATACTTAGGCGGACCCCGTTTGTACGACAGTGGTAATTAGAAGCCAAATACAAATTCGGTTGAACGAGTTTATTTCAGTTAATCGTTCATGTAGACAGATATGAGAATACCAAGCGTTAAAGCACTAAGAAGGAAACTGGAGAAGACATGACTAAGCGTTTATTGTCAGATAAAATTAAGCCATAAGCAAATTAAGCGTGCAACCAAAATATCAGCGAATAATAGACATGGTCGGAGGAAAACAGAATAGTCACTTGGTAACAAGAGGTTAACTAGTTTGTCCGAAAGCTATGACAAGCCCTGTGGTCCGCACACTACAAAGTATTTCTACCGTTAGTTAATGGCTGATGTTAATTTTCAATTATTATAATATCAAAATTATAAGCACAAAAACAGTTTTAAATCATGAATCTGATTAATAATATCATTGGCATTTTTCACCGTTTTTCTGTAAAAAAAAATACTTAATTGTGTGTGTGGTCCAATGGTTAGGAGTTCGCGCACAACACCGGTCTCGGGTTCGAATCCTGTGAAGTGCTGGAGTCAAGGATGTGCACTTCCGATTAGTCCCGTAGCAGGACGAGAAGGTCATCCATTACTTCCAGGTTCCTAATGGTGGTCTAACAATGACTGATTGATAATTTCAAATGCGTAAAAACACTAATCTCCATAACTCTAATTCAAAAGTACTTAAATCAACTTTGATTTATAAAAAATAACTTCTGTGGCTTGGTTTTCGATTCACTTTAATGATATTTTCTAATTTTCCATTACACATTCCTAATATGACCAATTTAGTACATTATGAAAAACAATTATAATCGTTTGGAGACTTTTTTGAACATTTCATTATCGATCCGACTGATCGTATTCCACATCGACGTACATCTGTAATACATACATACACTTGGTGGGATCATGATAGAAGGAGCATCAAAGTTGCTTTTGTCTGTAAAGAAATTGTAAATATGACTGGCTATAAATTTTATTACTGAAGAAAATGTTTTAAAAGTAGAACGGACGTAGTAATTTGGAAAAAAATCAATTACTGAAGTACACTTGGTTAAAATTAAGCTAACTCAGATTTTTAAGGAAATGAAATACACCAATGTACACTATAATTTTTATCTATTACTTATCTAAGTATTCATTGTTCAATTTCTACAATGTAGACGATTTCTAATCACAACTCGGTGAATTAATGTTCAAACAAGTAAGTAATTAATACTTGTTAGGGATTGAGTTCTCTCACTGATGTCATTCATGACTACAATTGATTAAACTTTATAGGAATACGTGGATATGCCCGAGCTGGACTGACTCATAATTGCTTATAGTTAAAAGTATCAAATTGAATGTAATGTACTACCTACATTCACCTGCTTCCTACAATCGCAATTCACTATCATCATATAGATTGTTTGAATGTAAATAATCTAATGTAGATGTGTACAGTGGTAGAGATTTTGACTCTATCACTTCAATGAAAACAAAATCCTTTCATTAGAATCATTTTCTACATGAATTCATTGATTGAAAACGTGTCTTCCATTACACACAGATAATTTTATATTCATAAGTGACTAGATGAAAATGTTTCAAGATCCATAGGCGAGTCAAAATTTAATTGTAAGCGGTTCAGTACAAATGTCTGAAACAAGGTGATGAGTATATCGAATGAGAGCAACTTAACTCATTATATATTACTCAATGTAATATGGGGGAACTTGATTGTCGCGCTTTTAACTAGTTTTCATAGTGAAATTTCATATAGGCTGCATGAAGTGACCACGTAGTTAAGCCTTTGAGAATAAATTCATTTTAACTATGAAACTCTATGCGTCAAATTAATTCAAGCTTAACAACTTTTCCTACATGAATTCATCAAAGCAGCGGAACTGAGGATTAATCTGACAGTATTACTAGGAGGTATAAAATTCAGTCTAAATCTATACTAGTATAATAATTTTCGGAAATTTTCCAATCTTATTATTAGCATTACACAGTGATTTCAGTCAAGCCAGTTTGTTACCCGCCGAATATACAGGAAGATAATTGTACGATGTTGCAGATTAACTAATTTTAAATACGTAAAACATTTGATGCCGGTTCAGTGGTTTAAAAGTTAAGTGTTAAAGCGAGAGGCTGAAAGTCTTGATGACAGAGTCATGAATGTGCACTGCTGAGTAAGATTTGTTTGTGAAAATCCCTCCATGTATATATACATTCGTAATTCGTCCTTATTGATTCCTTCAGTTGTACATTTTGCTAATCTGTTCGATTCCATTTTGAGATGATAATATTCGTATTTGATTATAGTGTCTATTTCCTCTGCCTTTACTGAGTTTCTATGTTTCTTTCTGAACTGGATTTATGTTGTTTAAGCTGATACTTAGTCATAGCGACAGCCGTATTTTCTTGTTCCTCCTTTGATTGTGTTACTTACATGGACTGGAATTGCGAGTTGAAGCACTCTTCCAGAATAGAAAACACTCTGTGTTATAAAGCGGCCAAATATTATCTTTTGAAGGAATCTGATCTATCCAGGAGGGATAGAATAACATTTATTTGTTGCTGGTGATTTGATTAATTGAACAATTGTTGGTGGAATAGCTGAGTGGTAATA